CCGAAATCCAAGATGCTAGACTTCCGTATGCAGGCACAAGCACCTGAGCAACAAGAGCCTGATACTGTGAGTAACTTTTGACCAGAGTAAAAAAAATCAGCTACACGAAGCCCTTCTGTGAGAAAAAAAATAGTCCAAAGCCCGCGACCCGTCAATAAAGAGTGATGCATGCAGCTTAAGAAGAAAGCAACAAGATATGAAAGAGGATCCCTGCTGAAGGCACTGTGCTTGATAGCCGACTTAGAAGATCGACAAGGATCAGGAAGCCCAATCAATCCCAAGTATACAGAAGCCAGCTATGCAGACACTGTGACACTTTCACAGTCTTGTGCCTCTCCAGAAAGTGGAAGAGCCAAGCTCATTTGAAGAAGCTAAGGGATCCAACAAGAAGAAGTCTTGGGGAGTAGAGTAGAAATTTCCGAACCACTTAAAAATTTCAAGTGTCACTCATTCTCTTCTTTTCTCTTTTTTAAATTTAGTATTTAACTACTTTGAACTATTTTGCTAGATTGCATATAGAAGTGCTTAAATATTTTGTGCAATAATTCTTCTCATTGTTGTTGTTGTTGTTATTATTATTATTATTATTATTATTATTGTGATGATATCATAATTGTTTGTTGCTCTTCAAGTTATTTTTTAATTTTTAAAAAAGTGGTAGACAATCCTATTCACCTCCCTCTAGTGTTGTTGTTGGATCCTACAATTGGTATTAGAGCGGGTAGCTCAATTTTTTAAAGTCTTCATTCTTTAAAATTTCATCTTTTTTTAAACTTTTTTTTAATATGGAATTTTTTTAAGAAAAATTTGAAAATTTGAGTTTCTGAGCCGATTTCACTATAAAATAATTTTCCTAAAAATTGACTTTTGAAAACTATTTTTTTTCTTGACTTTTTAAATTCTGAAAATTTATTTTTATTTGGAATAAATCTTTGATTTTTTAAAATTGATTTATTAATTGAAAATCAATTTTTCTTGATTTTAAATTAATTTCTGTTGAAAGCTTTCTTAAAACTTAATTGTTTGAACTTATGGCAAACATAGGGTTAATGAGTTTAATGAGGGTCATTCAAGCACTAGGTCACCTATTTTTTATGGAAATAATTATACTTGGTGGAAAACTAGAATGATAATTTATTTGATTTTCAATTCATTATAATTTGTCAAAAAAATATCTCTAAAGGTCCCTCAATTCCTATTAAGAAAGTTGGTCATGTTGATGTAGCTAAAAATGAAAATGAGTTTAATGATGATGATAAATGAAAATGTCTATTAATGCTAAAGTCATGAATTATTTGTTTTGTGCTTTATGTACTGGTGAGTTTAATCGAGTATCTGCATGTAACTTTGCTAAAGACGTATGAGATATGCTTGAACTAACTCAGGAAGGAACAAATCAAGTAAAAGAGTAAAAAATTAGCATGCTTGTTCATAATTATGAATTGTTTGTAATATGATGATAATGAGTCTATTACTGAAATGTTTACTACATTTACTAATATTATTAGTGCTTTGAAAGGTTTAGGAAAGAAATATACTACAACAATGTGAGGAAGATTCTTAGACTCTACCAAAAAGTTAGAAACCCAAAGTGACGGCAAATAAAGAAGTGAAGTATCTCTCGAAACTTCAATTGAAGGAGTTCATTGGATATCTCATGACCATGAGATAATCATGAAAGACAATATGAAAGAGGACATCGAAAAGAAGAAAAACTTGGCATTAAAGTCTACATCCTTCCAAGAGGCTTCTGAAAGTGAGGAAGAACTGAACGAAGAAGAACTTGCCTACTTATCCAAGAACTTCTTAAAGCATTTAAAGTAGAGACACTTCCCAAAGAAAACCAACGCAACAGTCAAAATGTCAAAGGAGAAAAGAGCACTAGAGACACCATCATCTGCTACGAGTGTAAAAAGGTTGGACATGTAAGATCTGAATGTCCTTACGTAAATCATCTTCAAGAAGAAATGAGAAGGCTATGAAAATTACTTTGGATAAAGTGACAAAGGAAGTGGATCTGAAAGCGAAGAGGAAGTAGCTAACCTTTGTTTCATGGCTTTTGGAGATGACGAGGAAGAGGTATGTTTTGAAAATTCTTTTTTTGATGAGCTTATGGATGCTTATAATGAGAGTAAATAAGAATTTTAAAAATTTGGTAGTAAATATTTAGTTCTTAAAAAGAAGAATACCAAGCTATCTCATGAGAACCATGATTTATTAGTCATGCATGATAGGTTAAATAAAGAAAATCAGATGTTTAGTAAAGATCTTGTTATTGTCTAAGTCAAATTTGCACGCTTTGAAAGAGGAGTATAAAATATTAGAAGTGACAAATAAAGATATATCATCTACTCTTTTAAAGTTTACAAACGTTTAAAATAACTTAAATATGATGATGGAAGAACAACAAGCTATCTTTAATAAAAGTAGTTTAAGCTATAAAACTCATAAAAAACAAAAGAAACTTGTAATCTACTTTGTCAAAGAAAGCTTTATGTCTACTATTTTTTGCAATGCATTTGAAAAATATGGTCATAAAATTTATGCTTGTAACTTGAGAAAAAAATTGCATTAAATGAAAAGAGATGGATTCCTAAATTTTTGCTTACTAATCCTCAAGGACCGAAACAAGCTTGGGTACCTAAAGTTACATCTTGAGTACTATCTTTCTTGTAAGGTATGTTTGAGATCAATAAAGAACAAGTGATACTTGGATAGTGGATGTTCAAAGCACATGACCAGAGATAACACAAAATTCACACATCTACAAAAGAAAGATGGAGGATACGTTACATGTGGCGACAATAAAAGATGTAAAATTATTGGGAAAGGTTGTTGGCTTTTTGGCCCTTAATCTCGGTTAATTAATTAATGTTTTGATGATAACAAACACACGTAGTATTAATTGTTTTTTCTGTGTAAGAATTATTGTTATAAAACATAAATTTATTATGAGGTTCAATAATATTATATGATTTACTGATAATACATATTTTGTTTATTGATGATTTTAGTGTTTTAAAGTGTCCACAGCGTAGAGCTCGATACGATGATTCCAACGAATTTTGAATTACCCAAATCGGAGCTCAAACTAAGATATTATGATCGAAAGAAGTTGGAAGAAAAATTACCCGAGATGAATGACGTGGCGGCTGAATCAACTAAGTGGTCCAACAAAATGTTGACATGTGGCATGGTGTCAAAAAAAAAAGAAAAGAAAAAAAACAAAGTTACCGTTGAAAGGTAACTTAAAAGAAAGAAAAAAAATAAAAAGTAAAAATATATATATATGTCACATCACATTAAATGCATATTTGTTTTAAAAAAAATTAAATATATTATATTATATTATATATATATATATAGCCGTTTGACACATCCATATATAATATTTTATTATTATTATTTTATTCAATTAAATCTCAACCTTTTATCTTTAATCATTTGAAATCTAATGGTCCAAATTGATTTTGGTTTCAAATCAATTTCAATCCTTTTTCCTCCTATTTAATCAACTCTTATTCTCTCAAAATTTTGACATACTTTCCTCTCCAATTTTCTCTCCAATCTCTTCATGTTCATCTCTCCAAAATTTCAAATATTGTTCTAATTTCTTGTGAGAGAAATTTTTTATTTGAGAGATATTAGTGCTTCCAATTTTATTTCTCTTTGCCATTTGAGGGCTTTTATTTGTAAGAATTTTTCTTACAAATTTGTGAGCAAAAATTTGTATATTTACTCTTTGAGAGAGTTTGTAAGTTTATTCTCAAATTTCCATATCCTTTGTAAGGGTTGCTCTTGAGCCCGAAAAAGAGCGTTGTAACGGTTTGATCCTGAACCGTGGAAAGGATCGGGTTTCTTCTTGCTCCAAAAAAAAAAAGAAGGCTTTATACCGGTTTGACTACTACCGTGGAAAGAGTCAAAGTTTCTTAATCGAATACCCAAGAGGCGCTTAGGGAGTGGAGTAGGCCGGTTGTTGCGGAACTACTATAAAATTTCCGGTGTCATTTTCTCTAACCCTACTCTATTTAATTTTTGCAATTAATTTTCTTTATTACAAATTGCATAAAATTAATTGTTTGAATTTGTTATTCATATTTATGCTCAATGTTTATATTTGAATTATTTGGGTGGTGAAATTAATTAGGGTGTTTGTATTTCTAATTTATTGTTTAATTTGTGAAAATTAATTGTTGCTAAAAAGTTTACTTATTTGTTTAAATTTGGGTCCACCGTAGTAAAAAGTTTAATTAAACTCTATTCACCCCCCTCTAGGGTTGTCATACCGATCCAACAAGTGGTATCAGAGCAAGGTTGCTCTTCTTTGATAAACTTAATTGTTTTTGAGCTATGACAACTTTAGGTTTCATCCCTTTTACCGATAGTCAATCTATTACTAAGCCTCRTTTCTTTAATGGTAATAATTATAGTTATTGGAAAAATAGAATGAAATTTTTCTTGCTTTATATTGACTATGATTTGTGGGATGTTGTTGAAGAATTATTTAACATTCCAACAAATGATGTTGATGGTGTTAGAGTTGTAAAGCCTAAAGAAGAATGGTCTATAATTGAAAAGAAAGCATGTTCTTTAAATGCTAAAGCTATTAATTGCTTGTTTTGTGCTTTGAATGAAGTTGAGTATAATAGGGTGTCGATTTGTAAAACCGCTAAGGATATATGGGATAAATTAGAAATTACTCATGAAGGAACTAGTCAAGTAAAAGAAACAAAGATTGACATGTTAGTTCATCAATATGAAATGTTTAAAATTGATGAAAATGAAGCCATTTCCGATATGTTTATTAGATTTACTAACATTGTCAATGCTTTAGAAGGACTTGGAAAAGARTATTYAAATCTTGAGAAGGTAAAGAAGCTCTTATGSTCCTTGCCTAAACAATGGRAGCCTAAAGTCAMCKYCATTCAAGAGGYAAAGGATCTCAAGACTCTCTCCATRGACGAACTCATTGGTTYGTTGATGACGCATGAGATAAAGATCAAGAAAAACATGGAGGATGAGAAAAAAAAGAAAGAGAAGAGCATAGCATTAAAGGCCATCACCTTGGAAGTTGACTCCAAAGGTGAGAATGCCCTTGATGAAGATGATGTGGCCTATCTCTCACGTAAGTATAAAAATTTCATCAAAAGAAAGAAACAATTCAAGAAGAATTTCTCCAACCAAAAAGAGTCAAAAGGTGAAAAGAGCAAAAAGGATGAGGTAATTTGTTATAAATGCAAAAAACCGGGTCACATTAGAACCGATTGTCCTCTTCTTAAATCATCCAAGAAATCCAAGAAGAAAGCAATGAAGGCTACCTGGGATGATAGTGATGAAAGTGGAAGTGAAAGTGAGAATGAAGAAGTGGTCAACTTTTGCTTCATGGCTCATAGTGACAAGGAGGATGAACAAGATGATGAGGTAACTCTTGATCCCCTTTCTTATGATGAGTTGTTTGAAGTTTTTGAGAATATGCAAAATGATTTAGAAAAGCTTGGTTCTAAATATGTTATGCTTAAAAAGAAATACAATGTCTTAACTAGTGAAAATAAGTTTTTACTTGATGATATTGCTTGCTTAAAGAAAATTGAGCATGATGTTGTAAATATCTCTTGTGATAAGCATGTTCTTGATTGTGATGAGAAAAATGCATTACTTGATAAAATTAGATTTCTTGAGCATGATGGTTGTGAAAAAGATAATTTGATTAAATTGCTTATGAAAAATGAATCAAATGCTTTAGTGGAACTTGATAAGGCTAAAGATTCTATTAAAAAGTTAACAATAGGTGCTCAAAGATTGGACAAGATAATTGAAGTTGGTAAGCCTTATGGTGATAAAAGAGGTTTAGGTTATATTGATGAATGCTCTACTCTCTCAAGTTCTAAAACTATCTTTGTTAAAGCATCTCCTAATATGCCTAAACTTGTTGCTCCTAAAGTTGTATCTAAACATGTTAAAATTAACTTTGTGCCTATATGTCATTATTGTGGTGTTGAAGGTCATATTAGACCTAAATACTTTAAATTGAAATATGCACAAACTAATTCTTCTAGAAGAAATTTTTCTCAAAGAGCAAAGCCTCACAATGCTCCAAAAGAAAATTTCTCAAAGAAAAGTAGAGTGCATGAATTTATTGCAAAAGATAATTCATTGCATAATGTTAATTGTTCATCAAGTGGCAAGTATGGACATAAAGCTTTTTCTTGTTACTTGTCTAAATCTAGTGCTTTAAATGTCAAAGGAAATGTTAAATTTATGCATAAACATGGAAATGATAGAAATATGCATGTAAAATCAAATCTTGTGCCTAATCATGCTTGTGGTAAAACTAGTTGTATGCCTAATGCTAAATTTGTGCCTAAGCATGTTCATGGAAAATCAAATTATAGGCATAATGTCAAATTTGTACTTACATGTCATTTTTGTGGAGTTAAAGGTCATATTAGACCAAATGGTTTCAAATTGAAAAATTCTCCAAAGAAAAATTTATTTAAGAAAAATATTGTGCAAAATAATTTTGTTAAGAAGAAATTATTGTCTGATGATTGTGGCAAAATTGATCATAAATTTTATACATGTTATTTGCCAAAATTAAATACAAATAATGTTGGAACTAACTTGAGGTGGGTTCCAAAATCTATGCTTCCTTACAGTGAAGGACCTACCAAATGGGTACCAAGATCTTTTGGTTGAGCTTTATTTTTGTAGGTATGTTTCAAGAAGCAAAAGGTTGCTTTGGACTTCAAATTGAAAATAAATTTCAAATGAGCAACGTCATGGCTTGCTTGAACCTAACAAAGGAAAATTGCCTATGTGGTAACCTTTTTTTTTTATTATTTTGCTATTGATATAATTTGTTGGAATAATTATATTTTTTTTGGCTAGAGAAGTTGAGATTAGTTTCTTGAATTTTATTTGAATCAAATGTCTTTGAGTCAATTGAGAATTTGTTGGACACTTATGTCTATTGGTCGATTATTTATGGATTAGTGGATTAATGCTCTTGAGTAAATTGCAAATTTTTTTGGCATTAGTCTTTTTACTTGATTATTCATGAATTAGTGAATTAATCTCTGGAAAAGTATGTGGTAGAATTTGTTGAGATTTATCCATCATCCTTATTGCTTAATGGATTAATATTCTTGAAAATATTGTGATAAACTATTTTGAGATTTATATCCATAATCTTGATGACTTATTATTTAAAATATTGGATTATATGTCTTGGAGAAATTATTGAATATCTATTTTGGCATCTTTTACATGATATTTGAATATTGGTTTCTAATATTTATCAAAGTTAATTTATGATTTATCAAAATATTGAAATTTTGATGTTAAGATTTATCCAAATTGCTTGATTCTTTGATAAACTTAAAGTCTTTAATTTTAGGTCCATTAGTTGCTTGTTATCCTTGTGTTTTCTTGAAAAATATTGTTATGGATGGTTGATATTTTGTGTTGTGAAATATTGTTTTTGATAGGTGATGGTTATTGTTTACTCTCTTTAAAGAATTTGTTTATATGCTTTCTGGCCATAAACTATGTGCTCTCTATGAAAATTAATTTCAAAATTTTGTTCATTATTGAAAATTGTTTGTTTTGAAATTTTGTTTGAAAAGAGTGGTTGAATTCTTTGTCATATGGGGAGTAGCTAAGAATTAATTTATATTCTAGAATTCCATTAACATGTTGCTCAAAAGTGTTTAATTGATTTTTGTGATTTTTGCATTGTCTATCTTTGATTAAATTCTTTTATAGTGACATAAGTCAAATTAATATTTTTATGATGTCATTTGCTTATATTTAATTTGTAATTTTTTTTTGTGACATAAATCAGAGTATACCTTGATCAGAAACAATTGGTATCAGTGTTTGCCTATATTTAATTTGCAATGCTTTTTAAGTGGTATAAATGACGATATTGTTTTGTTGTTAATTGATATCAATGTTGATTGTTCTTTATAAATTGTTTTGTTTAGCATTTTATATTTTTGGTATCTTGATTTTATTTTTGGCATATCGATGGTGTTTTAATTCTTGATGTTTAACTTTTTAATATAAATTGATGAGTTCAATTGAGAGTATCATTCATGTATGTGATTTATTGTGCTTAATCATAAGAATTAAAATTGCTCTCTTGGAATTATACTTGTCTTATGTCATATTTTATTGAATGAAAATTTTGTGGAATAGTTTGATAATTTGTTTAAGATAAATTGATATATCATGATTTGTTTTTATATATATCTATCTTGTGCAAATTGTTGAGATAATTTTTGTTTGTATCTCTTTATCTCCTTGATATTTATTGATATGTCTTTTTAAGAGGAGAATGCATATCTTTAGGGGGAGTTATAATACTTCATTTGTGAATGTGATAAAATTATTTCTACATATTGCTTTTTATTGTTTATGTGATTTTTTTTAAGAGTATGTATAGTGATTTCGACATTGAGTATGTTGGGAGAATTTGTTGAAAATGTTCAAGTTTATTAAAGCTAAAATTGCAAAAGCTATCATGAGCACCTCTACTAAGTTTGATAATGATTAAACGCTAAATGTGTTGATGCTAAAGCTTATTGAGGTATGTTGAATCTTTACCTCTCTTATGCATATTATTTATCTTTTCAGGGAGAGTATTTATCTTTGGAGTAATTATCTTTATAATTTCCTACAATTTATATTTCTTGATTTTCTTGATAATTTATTTATAAGGCATATTGATAGGGGGAGTTTTCATAAAAACTTGTGCTAAATTGTCTTTTTGTCCCTTATTATGGGGAAGTGTTTTATTGCTTAATAAATGTGAGCTTTTATATTTCTTATTTATTTTGTCTTACTTGTCCTTTTTGATTGATTCCAAAAGGGGGAGAGATAATAAGAAAAATAAATGAAATTGTGATTAATTTTGTTAAAATTAAATTTATGTTTGCCTTGATTGTGCTTCATGTTATCTCACACACCACTTTGATTACATTTTTCTTGAGTGGTTTGTAATCATCAAAAAGGGGGAGATTGTTGGCTTTTTGGCCCTTATCTCGGTTAATTAATTAATGTTTGGATGATAACAAACACACTTAGTATTAATCAAATTTATTTTGAGCTTCAATAATATTATATGATTTACTGATAATACATATTTTGTTTATTGATAATTTTAGTGTTTTAAAGTGTCCACAGCGTAGAGCTCGATACGATGATTCCAACGAATTTTGAATTACCCAAATCGGAGCTCAAATGAAGATATTATGATCGAAAGAAGTTGGAAGAAAAATTACCCGAGATGAATGACGTGGCGGCTGAATCAACTAAGTGGTCCAACAAAATGTTGACATGTGGCATGGTGTTAAAAAAAAAAACACAAAGTTACCGTTGAAGGTAACTTAAAAGAAAGAAAAAAAATAAAAAGTAAAAATATATATATGTCACATCACATTAAATGCATATTTCTTTTAAAAAAAATTATATATATTATATTATATTATATATATATAGTCGTTTGACACATCCATATATAATATTTTATTATTATTATTATTATTATTTTATTCAATTAAATCTCAACATTTTATCTTTAATCATTTGAAATCTAATGGTCCAAATTGATTTTGGTTTCAAATCAATTTCAATCCTTTTTCCCCTATTTAATCAACTCTTCTTCTCTCAAAATTTTGACATACTTTCCTCTCCAATTTTCTCTCTAATCTCTTCATGTTCATCTCTCCAAAATTTCAAATGTTGTTCTAATTTCTTGTGAGAGAAATTTTTTATTTGAGAGATATTAGTGCTTCCAATTTTATTTCTCTTTGCCATTTGATGGCTTTTATTTGTAAGAATTTTTCTTACAATTTGTGAGCAAAAATTTGTATATCTACTCTTTGAGAGAGTTTGTAAGTTTATTCTCAAATTTCCATATCCTTTGTGTAAGGGTTGCTCTTGAGCCCGAAAAAGAGCGTTGTAACGGTTTGATCCTGAACCGTGGAAAGGATCGGATTTCTTCTTGCTCTCGAAAAAAAAAGAAGGTTTTATACCGGTTTGACTACTACCGTGGAAAGAGTCAAAGTTATTGAATACCCAAGAGGCGCTTGGGGAGTGGAGTATGCCGGTTGTTGCCGAACCACTATAAAATTTCCGGTGTCATTTTCTCTAACCCTACTCTATTTAATTTTTGCAATTAATTTTCTTTATTACAAATTGCATAAAATTAATTGTTTGAATTTGTTATTCATATTTATGCTCAATGTTTATATTTGAATTATTTGGGTGGTGAAGTTAATTAGGATGTTTGTATTTCTAATTTATTGTTTAATTTGTGAAAATTAATTGTTGCTAAAAAGTTTACTTATTTGTTTAAATTTGGGCCCACCGTAGTAAAAAGTTTAATTAAACCCTATTCACCTCCCCTCTAGGGTTGTCATACCGATCCAACAAAGGTAGCATAGGTAATGGTTCAAATTTTTTATTGAAAATGTATTGCTCGTTGATGGTTAAAAGCATGATCTCTTAAGTATCAGTCAATTGTGTGATAAAGGCTATAAAGTAGTTTTTAGTGATAAAAATTACATAATTGAACATGCTTGTGATGGAAAAATATTGTTTGTAGGAAATAGAGATAAAAATGTTTATATTATTGAATTGGACTGTCATGTTGTTGTTAATAAATACTTGTCTGCTTTGCATGATGATTCTTGGTTGTGGCATAGAAGATTAGGTCATGTTAGCATGTATTTGATTTCAAATATTTCCAAGAGATTTGAGGTCTTTTCAAAATTAAATTTTAAAAAAGACAAAGTTTGCGATGCATGTCAAATGGGTAAACAAATTAAGTCCTCCTATAAACCAAAGAAAATGGTTTACTTCTAGGCCTTTGCAACTATTACATATGGATCTATTTGGACCTACTAGGGTGCAAGTCTAAGTGGAAAACATTATGGTTTTGTTGTAGCTGATAATTTTTAAAGATTTACTTCGGTTTTATTTTTAGTTGATGAGACCCTAAAATCCACTGTTAGAAAAATGTTTTATGATTTCGAAAATTAGAAGAGATCATGGAGGAGAATTTGACAATGCAATTATGGAAAATTTGTGTAATGCAAATGGTTTTTCTCATGATTTTTCTCTCGAATAACACCGCAACAATATAGTGTTGTAGAAAGGAAAATTCGATCTTTGCAAGAGTTAGCTACTTCTTTATTAAATGAGTATAATTTACCAAAGTATTTTTAGGATGAAGCTGTGAAATCTTATGCTATGAACCTTGTTTTAATAAGCCGAATTTTAAATAAAAGCCCTTAAGAGGTTTTTAATGTTAAAATTTCTAATTTTAGTTATTTCAAAGTTTTTGATGGCAAGTATTTTATTTTGAAGAATAAAGAGAAGCTTGGAAAGTTTGAGTAAAAAACTGACATTATCATATTCATAGGATATTCGGCATGTAGTAAAATATAGAGTTTTTAATAAAAGAACTATTGTTGGGATTTTCTCTACCTTTAAAAAGATTATAGACTTGTGCAAGCGCACACGGTCACAAGTAATACTCGGAAGTAATCCAAGGTCGAATCCTCAGGGACTTGTTGCTTTTCAAAATCAAGTAATGCAGTGAAATGGTTCAAATATGCAATTGTGATTTAGGAAGAAAATAGTGGTGAAATGTTGTTGTTTGGGGTTTTAACTAACAAGCAATTTAATGAAACTCAACCTCCTTGTCTCCTACATTGGTTTTGATGCAAAACATGGAAAACACACTATGTTGGGAAAATGCACCAGGCGCAATTCCTGACTTTTCTTGGGATTTGAGTTCTACTTTTTCACTACCACTTTTGGTTGCTGCAGAGGCTAGGGTAACATACAATCATATTTCTATGTGTGATTACAATCCTAGAGAATATGTACCAACTCATTTTGTATTATGGGTCAGAGGGCCTATGCCTAGGACCATGTTTTATGCGTTTATTCCTAAGTCACATCTCATATCGATTTCCTATTATTTTACCTAACTCACATTTCCCAAGGTTGGACTTTGGTGTATAAATCAAGTTCCCACTGGCCAATGGAAAAAAGACGTAAAGAGAAGTTTTTAGAAACCAACCCAAAAAAGTGTCAGGTGCAATCTGGCCAAAATCCCGAGCGTGTTGAAAATCAAATCATTTGACTAAGGCATTCCACAAGGAGGTTGATAAC